GCTGTTACCTTCCCACCAAAGGTGGTCCCTATTTTTCGACTTGCATTTTTTACGTGCTTTCAAACTGCTAGGTTGGCAGAAGCTGGGACAAGTAACAGGAGCTCACTCTGTTATGCGGCGCCAGGGATTTGAACCGCCAAACTGCTGACCTTTCTGATCGACAAGCTCAGCATCTTAACCACTGAGCCACCCTTAATCTAACATACCTTTTTTTAGATTCCTTTGATGATAAAGAAAACCATGTTACCCAGAAGTTGCCCAGTTATAAATCACAGGATAAACAGGGACTCTATTTAAAAGAATCAAGTAAAATGAAATGATTTTTTTTTAAAAAAGCCCGTGTACATGACAAGCTTCTAGTCAGATGGGCCAATGTAGACGTAGATGTATAAATCATTTAATCTGATGTGTCAGTTTCTATATTTTGTTACGTAAGACCTGCTCTCTTTGCTCTGAAATTTCATTTGGGAAAAAAATGTGGAAGCATCTCTAGCATTAATATTATAAACAGCCATTGAAGTAATACTGCACTGTGTAATTGATTTAATTTTAATTCTTCCTATTAGAAGACTTCCTCCTGAACAGCTAGGATCAATTTTTTTTTAGCATCTGAGATGAGTTGTCATGGCAACTTCAAGCTCGTGATGTTTTCAATCATGTTGATCAGTTTGAGGAAAATATATATTTTGACACCGAGGTATTTTCATCTTCAAAATTGGTTTGAAAACATAACCGTGGTGTAAAGTCAAGAGCATCATACGAGAAGCCAAAGTCATTTAACGTGACTGTCAGTGTAATATATTACTTCCTTGTGACAATGTTTAAAATGGATTATAGTTGTGATGGAATCAGATAATGGAGTCGCAGAGCATCCCCACCGGTGCACTTGAAATAATTCACATATTGTGAGCATGGATGTATGCCTAGTCTCATTTTTAAAATGGCTTTTGTTCTGGAAATGTGAAATGTATACATATATCAAAGCAAGGCAATCATAGAAAACGTCAGGTTTCAAGTAGCATTCGATATCTTTCTCCTTTTTTGGGGTGGGTGGGGGAAATCTATGAAATCTGGTCATCTGAGAATTCGGGGCTTAACTTTCAAACAAATGAGGAAGATGTAACGTATAATTAAAACATGGTGTAACTGCTCCAGATGGCAGACCTTTCTCCCCCCCCCCATCACCACTTTTTCCTTAACACCATGATTTTGTCTGTCAACACATTCCCATTCTTTACTTCATATTCCTGGAGATGTTGCCTGCAGGAAAATGACAACTTTGAAGTTACTCCCATATTTACTTATCTGTTTTGTATTTGCTTGTTTAGGTATGTTCTCATGACCTACCATGATCCTATGAGCTATGGTTTTTCACCTAGGTCTGTCTGTCTGACTTGTCTGTCTCTCATCTGTCTGTCTGTCTGCTTATCTGTCATCTATCTATCTATCTATCCTCTAGCAAGCAAGCTAGCTAACTANGAAGGAGGGAGGGAAAGGAATCTCTGGAGGCCTAGTGAGTATCTCCAAGACAACAAAGGGGAATAGGATGAACACAGTATGTAATGTACTGTCACATTGCAAATTCTGTCTGTTTTGTGCTTGCATCGTAATCTTGCCCTTGAGTCCATAAGGGACAGAGCTTGCATTATTAAATTATGACACATGTTTTATTGTTTTGACAAAACAGCAGCTTGTTGAAAAGGCTCTTGGCAGACACAGGGGTTTTTTTCCCCCTCCCCAATTGCCTCTATGATGACATCATCAAAATCGCCTTTCCTTCTTTTTATTGCTGGTGTGAATTGTTTTAGGCTGAAATTCTATGCACACTTAGGAATAGAGTCTATTAAAAATGCATGGCTTGTTTTGAGGTACGTACATGGGAGAGCACTGGCAATTACTGACGATCCGCTGAAATGTTCCGCGTTTACAGTTTCAAGATGGGCTTTATTTCAGTAGCACTTTGTTTCTCCTTAAAGAAGCTGGATTCTTCCTAACTGGAAGGTGCAGATGAACTTCATAGGGCCACCTTGTTCTAAAAGTCTCACTCCCATGCAATGAATTTCACCGTAGGTACTGTACTTTGATTATTTCAGATATCAAGCCTTTCTGTTCTGGAACATCTGCTTGGCTTAACAATTAATTGTTCTGAGGACACTGAGAGCTGGTCCATGTTTCAGAAGCACAGATCTTT